CACAGGGAGACCAGTCCCGCTGGCCTCTCAGATGAGGCTTGCTTCCCTTGCCTTCCCCCACCCTGGCCAAGCCCAGGAGGAGGTCTGGGCCGCTGTTCTCCCTGCCAACCCAGATCTTAGGCAGATCAGGAGAGAGAAGCTCTCTCAAGTGACAGCCTATATTATGAACACACAGAGAAGCGAAGAGACTTGCTTCCTCTGCCCAGGCTGAGGCTGCCTGTGGCCACAGGGAGCCCCTACCCTCCAACTATTCCTTCCCGAGGAACTCCATTGCTGTGGGCTTTCCTCTGTGTTACGCAGGAGTTCAAGAGGGGCCCTGGGCCTGGGCCAAGGCAGCCTGCAGGCTCTGCTGAGCTGCTGCCTGCCCCCAGCCACCACAGCAGGGGGGGTGGTTAATGCAGCCTCCAGCCTGGCTTGCCTCTTCCTAGGCTGTGGGCACCCTGGCCCTCGGAGAAAAATGCTTTCTTTTTTTAAGCACAATTAGTCCAAAACCATAAAGTCTAAGAAGCGATTCCCCTGGAGGACCCTCCAAAGAGGGTTTTACATGCGCCTTGAGTTATCCTTGAAAATCCTTCAAAATTTCTAAAGCGCTGCAATTATTTCCACAGGCTGAATCCAGCAGTTCTTGGAAGGGTTTCAAAGGGTACAGTGGTAGCAGCTCCCTATACCCTCTCATCCCTCCCAAGCAGAAACCTTCAGAAGGAGAAGTGAACCCTCATTGAGATGTCCTCTCTACCCTGGCTCTACCACTGCTGCCCAGCCACCAAGGGTCCATTCAGTTCTTTGCCCAAAAGACCCCTCCCAAGAGCTGGCCTTAGAGAAAGCCACTGAACCTAAGCCATAAGCTAGAGGAGCTGATAGGGCTCTCCATTCTGGGGCATGAGCTGCTTAGCTTTCCTCAAAATTTTTCAAAATGGGCAACATGGAGGTGGCACATGGAATAAAGGTGGGTGGTAGACACTGGAATGAGGCTAGATCTCCCGGTTAAAGCTGAGTTTGAACAGAATGGTTATTCATGGATTTCCTGGGAGTAACCATCTTTTCTTCATGGATAACTAAGCAAGAGGCATGTTATCTGAATTGCAGTGTGGAGGAATTTAGCTAGATAGCAAGTGGGACTTCCAGATGATTGGATTGTCTATGGGCAGTGGTATATAATGTTTAAGGACATAGATTCTGAAGTCAGACACACCTGGGCCTGACTATCATCTTTACCCAATACTAGCTCCTCTGTGACTCTGGGCAATAATTTAACCTCTCTGAATCTCCATTTTCTTTTATATCTTAATAAAGGTATAATCATTGTGGTGACCTCACAGGGTTATTGAGAAAATCACACAAAGTAATGAACAAGAAATTCTTAGCGCAGTGTCTAAACTGAGGACTAATAACAATAATAGTAATAACCAGATGAAATGACAGTATCTCTGGAAATGTTTGTTAAACGTATAACAGGTGCTGAACTTCAATGATCTCTCTCTAATACCTTTCAGATCCAGGATTCCTAGACTACCCCAGAACTTGACTGTCTTTAAAATGGACCCGAGGAAATGTGCTTGGAATAAATATTGAGAATCTTTAAAAATCACCTAGAAATTCTACCACCCATTTTTGTCTTCCATCAGCTCTAGCTCTTTTAGTTATGTCTATCACTAGGGTGACCACCCACCCCAGGTTGCCAGGAACAAAGAATGGTCAGAGATGCAGGACCTTTTGTGCTAAAACTAGGTGAGTCCTGGGAAAACTGAGGCAAGTTGGTCAGCACACACCAGCACTCAAGCACTGCCTTCAGCATGATCAACAACAGCAGAGCTTATGTTTCCCACCCCCATGCTAAAACCACTGAACGGGAACTTGCAAAAGCCCCTTATTCCTCCACGCTCTGAAATATCATGCCTAGGAGGGTAGGGTTGTCAGATAAAATACACAATGCCCAAGTAATTTGAATTTCAGATGAACAATGACAAATTGTTTAGTATAAGTATGTTGCAAATACTGGATGCGATATACTTATAGTAATTTTTTTTTATTATTTATCTAAAAGTAAAATTTAACTGGGTGTCCTATATTTTTATTTGTCAATTTAGCGATTCTAAAGGCAAGGGCAGTCTGCTGTGGCATGTCAAGCTGGCTGCTGGGGAGGCAGTCAGGACAGTTGCTGGGAAACCTCAAACAAGAAATCACGTTCCCTCTGGACATCTCTTCTATTCTGCATTTCAGGCCCCAGTTCCTCCATCTTGTGGGCCTGCTCTGAGCTCCTCAGTCATACTTTGCTCTAAGGAAGACAGATTAAGGCAAAGAAATATTTGATGGATCCTTTAAACCAGCAGGTGATGTAGTGGTTAAGAGTGCTGGACTCCCATATGGCTGACTGCGGTTCAAGTCCTGGATCTGGTGGCTTGCTTTCTCACTTTCCCTCTCTCTCTCACTCTCTCTCACTCTGTCCCTCTCTGGTTAAATTCAAATAAATAAATGTATAAATAAATAAACATGACTGACCCTGAGGCAGGCAGCATGATGCCAAATGGTTAGGAGTTTGAGCTCTGTATGGCCAGCCAAATTCTGCTCATATCCCACCTATGACAACACATTAAATGGTAATTATTAATACTTAGAGCCTGACCTTTCTCCTGTTTATCTTTTCTATTCCCTTCTTATTCTGTTTCCAGCACATTGCCAGACATTGAGGGGAATACAGAGAAATGGGATGATTTCTGGACATGGCTCTTGCCATGAGGGAACTTACAACCTTGTCTGAAGGCACAGTGGGAACATTAACCAGATAGAGATCCAGACACAACTACCATTGAGTACCTGCCTACTCTGTGCTTGACCCTGCCCTAAGTGCACATGTGAACCAGATGTCAGCAAGGGTCAGCTTGCCCTTTCAAATTCAGGGAAAATTGGCTCAAGCCCCCAATCCCACCCCTTATAGGGAAATCCATTGTCTTCCTCAAGATTTCTGAGGATACCAAAGGGGTCAGAATTCCATGTGGTTCTGAACCTAGGCTCCTAATGAGCTTCTGATTTCACAGTCATCTTCTATGTCCACTCCTTTCTTTCTATTTATTGTCACACTCCACTGTGAACACGGCTCTTCTTCCCAGATTTTTATTTTTAAACACCTACTCACATGAAGTATTTGTGCAAGTAGTAAACTTTATCAAGGTTTATGTAGATAGAGGGGACATATGTTACAGTGACACAAACAATTAAAAATGGGTTGGTAGACATTTCTGTTTTGAAATGTCCTTGGCTACATTGCCACTTGGAATTTTCTTTTTGCATTTCCAGACGGCCTGTGTATTTGCCAGAGAGAGACAGAGAGAGAAAGGCTCCCCCCCACACACACACAATGTTATGGTCATGCCTCAGTCCCTTCTCCTGTATTTCTCCATCCTGTCAGGATTTGGAGCAGGCATGTACACACACCCAGTGTGTTTTTCCAGCCACTGGGACTAGGATTTGAAATGCTGTTGGCCCTGTGGAATCCAGCTCTCTTAACCATTAGGCTTTGGAGGCTGGTCCTTGCTGAAATTGTTCTGCAGCCTTCTAACACATGCTCCAATGATCTTATCTGCTTGTCTGTCTTTTTGATAAGGAAAGGATGAGCAGCACTTCAATAAGCTTTTCTTGAGCTGCCCCTTGGGACTGAGGAGTTTGGAAGCTCTTAGACCAGTGTCCTTTGGACAAATTTTGCCTCAGGTTATTATTTCAAAATCTTATAAAGACTTTTCCATCTTATGTTTGTTTTCCTGGGATCTGCTTTCTTGAGTTCTGTCTATCCAGAATCAGCACCTGGCCCCTGAGTAGTGGTGACTGGCCTTTGGCCAAACTCTGGAGATAGAAAATTTACCACCATCATCTTTATAGACCTTTGAGTTCTCATGGGGTTTCCTCAGCCTAAAAATACACCTCTTCTGGGCTAAACACCTGCTTCCTTCATGTTTTCTTATCACAGTGCAAATGTGGACACTTATCCCTCTGACTGGCACAATTTTATAAGGGATGATTTTAAACTGCAGTAGCCTCTTTGGAGAGCTTTGGACACAAACAAAGAAGCTACCTTAGAACAGAAAGCAAAAGAAACTCTCAAGGGGTGACTGTTTTGTTTGTCTAAGAGAAATAATTATATTTAATGTAAGATATATAACCTCTTTGGTTTCCATATTTTGGGGATTTTTAAATGCTGGCTGGCTTTTTCATTATATAACTTGATAAAACTGTCAAAGGTCCTTGTGATATCAAAAACAACAATGTACCATGCTTGTTTGTGTGTAGCTATCTCAAAATCTGTATTTGTACATGTCACCCTTCTTTCTCCTTGCAGAGAAAACATAACTAGTTGTTTATAGTAATGACTGCATATTTGACTATAGCTGGCTATCTCTTTTATTGTGTGTATTTTTCCCCTGTCCCATTTCCTCTCTTTTTCCCTCTCTTTGAAACTTCAAAGATTAACTGATCAAAAGATCATTTAGGTTTTTTGCATACATTCTAGTTCAGATAAAGTCATATTTACCTAAAAGAAAAAATTTAAAGTTATTAAACTATGCTACTTTTTGTGTGCTCTGAAATATATATTTACATGATAGCCTTGTTACTATAGTTATAAGAAAATAATAGAAGAATTTAGTTGCATGATAAAAGAATTTTTGTGTAACCAGAGTCTTTAGCACACTATTTTGGTTACATTTCTCCTAATTTAAACTTCTTAAACTTCCTACATTGGGGTTTCTTTTTTTTTTTTGGTCTCCAACATTTTTTAATTTTTAGAATACAACCTAACTTTCTGGGAAGGAGTAAAAGAGAGCTGCATTCCTAGTAGTCATCTGACAAAAACTGTCCATTATTCTTAACATTCAAACGCCCCCTATAGTGAAAAAAAAAAAAAACTCTCAAAAAAAAAAAAGAGTAAAATGAAGCTGCATTCCTAGTAGTCATCTGACAAAAACTGTCCATTATTGTTAACATTAAAAACAGGAAGGTAATCTTTTTTCTTTTTTTTTTTTAAATAACACACTGACATTTACTTAATATATTTAGAATCTTGTGATTTCCAGTGATTAGTATTTTGTCATGTCTGGAAAGGAACAGAAGACAGTGACTGAGAAGCACACGCCTCATAAAAGACACCTAAATAGGATACTTAGGATGACTAATATTAACAAATTGAACATAACACATTCTTCCTCAGAGGAAGCGATTTTAATTTCTAAAGAGCATTCACTTCAGACATTTCAATTCCTGATTTGAGTGGCTGCAGATTGTGTACCTCTGTGCCACACTTAGGACAAGTAACATACATGTCAAACAGGAAACTACTTTTAACACGCATCCTATGGTGTGCGGCATGGTGGGCCACTCCCCACATAGAGAACGTTCTTTGCCATTGATAGCTAATGAACTATCATTAGTAGGAACACCAGTTAGGGGGATACACCATGATGCTAACTTGGCTTTCAGCTTCTGGATATTGATAAGTGGTAAGAGAAAAATCAGGAACTCAGCAAAACCATGCCAGAGAAGTTCCCTGTTCATATACTCAAAACCAGCCTCACGTAGGTTTTGGGGCTTGCAAAATACAGAATGCCTAGGAGACATTCTGTCAAAGTTGCAAACTTTCCTCTTTGAAGGAAAATCAAAAAATTAATCAACTCACCTAATTTCAAAAGTCGAACCACAAAATTCATGCACTGCTTGACTTTCCCAAAGGATGCCAAATGGTGGTTTTGAAACAAACCGTAGCCTCTTTCTTCCAACCACCTCCCACCAACGGTACAAACGGCATACCAGAGCTTTTGATTCTTACTCGGTGGCTGATATTTCAGGTTCGGGGAAAAATCATTTTTGTACTGAATATTCAAAACTGACTGACCCACAGTGGCATTTTTGGAGTATGTAGTGAAAAGCCACAAGAATGCTTTCACCTCGGGTTCAAAGCAGGCTACCAGCCCTGGCTTAAATCTATGAAAGCACTGAGTAAACTGGGACCAGACTAGCTGCCCCAGAGCCTTGTTTAGTTCAGGCACATCCAACTGACTTTTCCTCAGCACTCTGTTCATACTCTGCATTTTCTTCTCTGGGCACCATGTCTTCTTTGAAAGTGTCTTTTTCCCCTTCCTGCAGCTCCTTTGAGATTTGATAGTCTACAGCTATGGCAGTAAGGACGTTTACCGCAAGTGATCCTGTGAAATCTTTGCCTCTTACTTGCCAGGAGCTTTGGTGGTATGTGCTGCTAAGGGGTCCTGCTCTGCAGGCTGGGACCACATGGGAGACCCTGATTTGACTTGGGTCCAAAGTAAAGGCCAGGTGCACTGGTCAGTGCCTTGAGATCCCAGCTACTTAGCAGGGTAAGGCAGGAGGACTGGTTTCATGGGGAGACACTTAGGAGTCCGCAAAATGCCCATGCTCCACATAACTTTTCCTGAAACATTTTCTGGAAAGCTTGGCTTTTCCTAGCAGACTCTGGGATACCCAGGCTTCTGGATCTCGTGAGCACTACATTGAGTTTTACAAATTAAATGAGTTACCACTATTTTCATTATTTGTTTAAAATTACATGTATAAAATTTCATTCAACTAAAAAGAATGATAACGATTGATATTTTTCAAAGGATTTGCTTTTATGAAATTCTTACAATGCTGTAAATCAGTATTCAGGATTCAGTGTGTGAGTTAAATTGTAATTTACAGATTATCTAACCTTAAGACTTTAAAACTGGGGCTGGATGGTGGGGTAGCAGTAAAACTCAATGCTTTATGAAACTGACCCATATGGGAAGGTTGTGAGTTCATGTCCAGAGACCTCTTTGAGTATGGCTGGTGTGTATGTGCCCATGATTCAGGATTGGCAGAAACTGAGGATAGATTGTTGAGGACGCTGTGTGTGTGTGTTTCTCTTTATCTCCCACTCATGGAATAAATAAATCAACTTTTTAAAAAAAGACCTTAGACCTAAATTGACTATAAATAATTTTTGGATGTCTAGACAGTTCCAAGAAAGAAAAAAAAATCAGATACATAGGTTTTTTTAATCTGCTCTCTGTTGCTTAATGGCTGAATACCTGAGTCTGGGTAATTTATAAAGAATAGAGATTTATTTAGCTCACAGTTTTAGAGGTCCAAGTTCAAGGGACTGCCATCTGGTGAGGACTGTCTTGTTAGTGGAGACTGTCTGCAAAGTCCTCAGGCAGCTCAGGGCGTCACATGGCAAGAATTTATGCAGAACATGTGTCTCTGTCTCCCTCTCCTTATAAACCCACCAGGAGTCAATCATGGAGTCCCCCATGCTGGTGACCTTATTTAATCCTAATAATCTCCTAAAGGCCCCATCTTGCAACACCAGAGTCAGATTAAGTTTCATTCTGTTAATCCCATGCAATCGGAACCAAATCTCAGCACATGAATTTTTAGAGAACACATTCAAACCATAGCACAGGTTTATACTTTTTTATTATTATTATTACTATTATTTTATTTAAATTTTTGACGTAGGGCATGTGCCCTCTCCAGAGAGAGGCACAGAGAGAGGGAAAGTGAGAACTCACTGTCACCGGGGGGATGACCATGCTATAATTCCTTCTCCTTCATTCTCCTCTTAGGAATTTGGACACACACGCGCACACACAGCGAGATTTTTTTTTTTTTGGAGAGGTTTTTGCTATAGGGCGTGTGCGCTCACCAGACAGAGAGAGACAGAGAGATAGAAAGCGAGAAATCACCCCCTGGGGGGAATGGCCATGCCGCAACCCCTTCTCCTCTATTCTCCTCTCAGGATCTTGGGCACGCACGTACACGTGCCCAGCGTGAGTTTAAGCCACTGGGTCCAGGATTCAAACTGCGGTCGATTACATAGGAGTCCAGCAACATAGCCATTACACTAACTCACACAGCCTGATTTTCACATTGCCAGGTCAGGGACTTGAATTGCAATCGGCCATGTGGGAATCCAGCACCTTAACCACCATGCCACCTGCTAGCCCCTATACTTATTTTTTAAATGGCAATCAACTAACAAAATATATAAAATGTTTTAGATAATATTTTATATGTATTTTGCCTCAACTGTTAAAACTGTATTAAATAATAGTGGAGAAAAAAATAGCTAAATAATTCTTTATTTTCTGTTCTCTAGTTTTCTGTTGTGTCTGAAAAAGGTTACTTTGATTATGAATAAGAATTAAGAAAAATGGTTAGTTATACTAGATACAATAGTTACAGAGACATAGAAAAATGTGTATAAGATAATGGATATTATTTTTAGTTTTCTTATTAAGAAAGTTGTTATAGTTTATTCATATGTTTAATATGATATATTATTTTATTTCAGTCAGTTAATTTATGTCAGTTAATTACATTAAAGCTATAATTAGAAGCTTGAGATTATAATCCATTTTTATAATTTATAAATTTGTCTATGCATACATGCATATATAAATGTATATTAACAAATTCTTTACTACATATTGTTGCATAAATAATGTGCCAAGAGAGTAAAATTAGCCTTTGAGTATTTTTTATGCATAATAACTAAGTTATGCTATGACCAGATTAGTAAGGTTTCCTTTTCTGAATACAGTTTATTTATTTACTTCTTCCATGGGAAAGAGACAACAGGCACCCTGACAGGGGTCTTCATGCCACAAGTCTCAGGTGACCAGACCACAGGCACACACGCACGTCTGTGCATCTGGCATGCTCAGGGATGTCTTAGGACATGAAACCAGGATCTTTCTCACATGGGTCCAGTTCTGTTACTGTTGCACCATCACCTGGTCCCAGTAGAGGTTATTTTTTGTTACTCAAATATTCCGTTAATTCTCAGAGCTTTTCAGCATCTTCTGAAATCATTAAGAGTCTACTTTTGGACAATAAGCTGATTTCCAAATAGCCATTCTTTATTGAGTGATTTTACAGTGTTGACTAACTGCAGAATAATAATACTATGAAGATGTCTTTTATGCCTAAGCTACCTTTAGGTTTCCTAAAATGGCCATTAGGCAACACAGAGATTTGCCTTTCTATCCTATAAAAGAAAGGTCAATAGTAATAATTAGGTTATCCAAATTTTACCAATTTTTAATTGAGTCAAACCATTATGAATGAGAACTTTGTCTACCAAGCTTAACATTAAGATAACCTGACAAATCGAAAATAGAAATTATCTTCCAGATATTAGTAAAATATGCAAATATAAGCATCTTTCAAGGACTGAACAATTTTCAAGTTAAAAGAAACATGCTCAAATCTAAGTACAAAGACTGATACAATAACCGACTATTGAAAGATGTTTCCAGGATTGGGGATTCATAAACTTTTTTTCATTTTTTTCTCATAACATTTTTGGGTAAGTGCTAAAGGTATTAGCTTGATTTCATGGGAATGGTGAGAAGCATATTGCTTTTTTCAGGCTTTCATTAGATCCAGTAGCTAAGGCATAGTTATTTCATCTAAGAGCTGTAGCAGCAATAGCAAAACAAGTAAAAATTTCAATTAGGTTGGTTCTAGATCTCCACTAAACTTTATGGTCCTCCCTGCTGCGCAAACTCTTCTATTGACAAAACTTCTCACCACTCTTCAGCTAATAGTTGCCTAGCCACCTAGAAAATATTATTGCTTTTCTCTTCACACTGTTGCTGTGACAGTCTAAAACCCATCATTCTTCTTCATCTACTGGAAGGAGGAAAAACCTACGACTGCTTACTTCGGTTAGGGAATTCTTCATACCTGCACAGGCCTTCAGAGACACTTCAGCCCATTTTGCTGGAACTGCTGAACTCTACTCAAAAAATCTGTTAACTTAGCGGAACACAAAATGGGTTCACTCCTCTTGTTGTAAATGACATTTTTGCTTTCAACACAGTCTGTGCCCTACTAGGGTACTACTCCATATGTGGACATTAGGCATCAGTGCCACACTCTAACTTATCCTGTGTGTTTAAGGTAATTTTTAGAGACTTTCAGATGCTTGAAATTACCACTCTCCTAAAGGATCATGTTTCTCTAAAATCAATTTTCATATTTGCCCCAAAATCACCCAATTACCTCCAAAACAAGGCACACACAAATTACTTTGCAGATAATCAACTGCCTCTTTATGCATTCTATGTGAGCTGCACTTCCTCTGTTAAGGAATAATACAACTGGAAAAAATGTCAAACATTTTTCTGACTCTAACAAAAGTAATAAATAATGTAAGCTCTCCTCCAAAAACCCAATAAACTATTTGAATTTCAGTAATTACAGTTCTTATGGATAGTCACGTTACTCTTGATTTCCTCTTAACTACTCAAAGGGAATTTTATGTTATAGCAAATATTTCCTACTATGCCTATATACCATAAGAGAAGTAAGACAGGTGAAAAAACGTTATTCGTTTTCCTGGATTAATAGGCATTTTGTTTTTGATAATCGTTAGTATTATACTAGGTTGGTGTGTCAAATAGGGTTCAAGCACTAGTGCATAACTATTATTTTATCAGAGGACTCAGCAACTCATCCTGCAACATAATGGGCAGGATAGACTAACCCTAGCCCTGCTACACACTAAATTCTCAAAACAATCTCTTGATCAGCCAAGTTTTGGCAATAGTGAAAATCTGGGTATCACCGCTTAAAGTCCTGCAGCCTGACTCGGTCTGCCCTTGACTATAAGGGAGACACTAAGAAAGAAACAAGCAGTCTCTGACATCTGGGCTCTGGCCTGATCCCATCAGCTGGGCCTTGCTGTTCTCCTGTTAAACAATTTTACCAAACAATGTCAGACAAGGCCACTCTGTGACGACAATGGATCAAGACAAAAAAGGACCACTGTGTAATCACATCTGAACATGGACAAAGGTGGACAGTCTCTAAACTACAGAGATGATCAAACTTCCCCTTATTCTAGCTAATACAAGTGATTGCTGCAGAGTTTTGTTGTTGTTGTTTTTGGTTTTGGTTTGGTTTGGTTTTAAACTTATGAGAGGGCACATGCACCGGCGCCAGTAAGGGAAGATGGGGAGGCGAATGGTCTCATGGCTCAGCCACACACCACAATTCTCATTTTCCAGTCTTCCAGCCTGTCCAGATCCTGGGCACATCCACTTGGTGTGTTTTCAGGCTGACTGGGCTAGGGACTTGAACTGCAGCTTCTAGCTCCATGGTC